CCAAAGAAAATCTAAATCTAAGAGATCTCAAATTTCAGCCAAATTCAAGATGATCAAACCCTAGGAAAATCTACTAATTAATGCATACAAATCAAAAGGAAATCCCTAAACAGTTCCTACATTCAAATTTCCCTCTCAAAACCGTCAAAAACACTTCCTAAAATGCTCTTCTTGAGCGGACGGCCCGCCCGATCTCCGCCTCCTGCGGAGATCTCGCGTATTACGCGAACTGCCGGTCCAGTGGACCGGTCTAACATAGACCAAAAAAGATTTGGTTAGAAAGTATTAGAAATGACATTTCTTTATTAGATTTAAATGAGAATTTGACTCTTAACATGACAAAATAGAGAAAAAGGATTCATATAGCTGACCCCACATAATGGGATAAAGGCTTGATGTTGTTATTGTTGGCATACAACTGGTGCTCCCCCAAAGTATCGAAAGGCATCACCAAAAACTCGTAGTGCCCCTCATGAGCCCTAAAAGCTATCTTGTGCACATCCCCCAATTTAATTCTAATTTGGTGGTACCTTGACTTTAAGTCAATCTTCGAGAAGATGGCCGTCCCAAACAACTCATCTATTAGCTCATCAATCAAGAGGATAGGCAACTTGTCAATCACAGTTTTCTTGTTTAAGGCCCGAAAACCACAAAAAAAAATTCAACTTTCATCCTTTTTACCAATAAATTTGGGCTAGAAAAAGGGCTCACACTGGGCCTAATAATTCTTGCATCCATCATCTCTCTAATGAGCATTTCTATCACATCCTTCTAAATCTATGAATACCACTTATAAGAGAAACCCCCTCCTTCAAGGTAATAGCGTGATCATGCTCCCAGGGTGGCGGTAATCTACTATGCTGCTGAATAATATCAGGAAACTACTATACAAGCTTCTGTACACACCCAGGACCTTGGCTGGCTCTAAATATCTAACCTCCTCCATGCTATGCAGCTCCACCAAGTAGCCCAGTCCTGCTTCTTGTATCGCCTTGACTATGATTTGAGTGAAACTATGGTTCTACACAGGTTGTCATCTCCTAGCAGCACCACCCTCTTTCCTTCCACCTAAATCTTCATAGTAAAGGATTTCCAGTCCACCTTCGTTTACGCTATAATTTGCAACCACTTCACCCCTATGAACACATTAGTGCTCCTAAAATTCAACGGAAGGAAATTCTCCACTATCTATATGTCCTGGAGTGCTAGCACCAACCTCATACAAATGCCCCTAGCCCTCCCCACCTTCCATGTTCCCATCATGATGCGATCAAAATCCTCTCATACATGGGACCCTATATTTTTTTATCACAATAAGAAAAAAGACTTCCTACACAAAATACCCAAAAAAGAAGAGATAACTTAGAAATTTTAGAACAAACTCTTACGTTTCAAATCTAAGACCGACTTAGAAATTTTAAAAAACAAAATTACAACGACTTACAATCTTGACTCGAAATTAAAGACACCATAAAATTGCTTCACAATTTAGAAGAGGGATACAGGTGGAGTGGCACTTGCGGAGAGACAAAAGAGGTTAGAAGCCAAGACGAAAGGTTGGAAAGAGCTCAGCAAGATTTCCAGAGGGGATGAGAAAGAAGACGGATAAAGCTCGCAAGCTTTTACATGAAACCCGCAGGTTTACATTTCCAAAAATCACATATCATTCACTATTTTAAAACAATACAAACCATCTCATATATATAGGTATGAGAAGAGAATACGAAAAGACTTGGCATTGAATTCACACACGAATCCAAGCACACACAAGCATGGAAATCCCCCCATGCATTCACGGAAACCAGCCCAACCCAGGAACCGAAGGAGCCACCACGGGAGCTGAAGAGGCCGCACGGAACCAAGGCGCCAAAGCCACGGGAAAACCAGCAGCCGGCCATAAATCCAAGGGCCATGGCACGGAAAACAGCAGCCCACCGTGGAAGCCAATGAGCCACGACATGGGAAACAACACTTCTTGGAATTCCAAAGGCTGGTTTGGAATTCCAAGAGACAAACATAATTAAAGACATAAAAACAATAAAATTACATTTAATAAAAAAATAAATATGAACTAAAATGATAGCTAATAATGAACTAACCCTTAGTTCAATAAGTGAACTAAAGATCAGCTCATAAATGAGCTAAAATTTCAGCTCAATTTTGATTGAGCTTATAAACTCGAGGGAGGCCAAAATTGATTTATTTTGGACATGAGTTGACCCCCCTTTGTCTACATCACATCATGACTCCAAAACTCCATGTATCCACCAACTCCAATCCTAGCTGATCCACGACCTGATTTGAGATAAAGTTCTGAGTAGCCCTGCTATCCACCAAGATCACCACTAGTTACTCCATGATATGTCCCCTCAACTTCATGGTGTGATTTGGAGTAAATTTCACCACTGAGTTAAGGGGCACTTCCGCCACATCAAGATATAGGTGTTCTCCTCCCTCTTCTACTTCCTCACCCAACTCCTCGTTGTTGGTCTCCTCCTCATCACAAACCATAAGGACTTGGAGTGCACGGTCTTTACACCGATGGCCGAGTGCATATTTCCCATCACATAAAAAACACAAACTCTTCGCTCCTTTGTTATGCACCTCTGCTTCTATTAAGCGCTTGAAGTTGGGTCTAGGGCGAACTCCCCCACTCTTCTCCCTCGATGCCTCCCACTGAAAAGACACCCTCATGGTCCTCAATGCCAATGTAGTCGAGGCACTCATATAGAAGTCTCCTGCAACTCCGCTCCTGCTAATCTTCTCCATCTATCTTTAATCCTCCGCTATCTAGGCTAGCTCCATCCTCTCCCTCAACCCCTTTGATCTCAACAATCAGAGATCTGCCCATATGTCTGACTTCAAGCCTTTCATGAAATTTCCCTTCATCACTGGCTCCGAGATCCCCCACAACCGCCCTGACAGTAACTCAAATCTTTCCTTATACTTCATGACGGTCCCCTCCTAAGTCAAGGTAAAGAATTGCTCATGTAAGTCTCATTCTAGAGTGGCTCTGAAGCATTCCAACAAGCAATCTTTAAATTCCTCCCAAGATTGGATAGGATATCTGGCCTCCCACCACTAGAACCAAGCTAGGGCTTTCCTCTCCAAGCATAACATTGAGGCTGCAAGCTTCTCCTCTTCATTCAAACCATTAACTATGAAATATCTCTCAACCCAGTACACCCATTCATGGGCATCCTCTTCAAATATCAACATCCTTAACTTCCTCACCCAAGTATCTCCACTCTAACTTCCCCTCCCTCCAACAATTACCCCCGTGTCTTAAGGGTGGGAATCCCACCTTTCCTCTCTCCTCCTTACATGACCCGATCCTCATGGCTCGGCTCGACCCCCTCTATCTCTAACGGCCCGACCCTCTTGCCCGAAATGCCTCCCATAGTAGTCGACCACCCTACCACCTCCACCAAAAAATTCTCTTCTTGTTGTACCCTCCTTCGAAAACCCCAATCTACCCCTTATCGGAGCCTTAGGAGGTGTCCCTTGATGAAAGAAACTCTCCCTGTCGAACTCCACCCGTTCTCTCTCCTTTATTTCGATTTGACTAAAGGAATCCCAATCAAATCTTGGTTAGGGTTAGTAATTGGATTCTCCGATGGAATTTTTTATAGCATCTCTATGAGTTTCTTCATCATCTCCTCTAGCCCTGCAAATCAGCTCTCTATTTGATTTTCCATGATTGAGAACCTTCCATTGATGGTTGAAAACTTCTCCTCCATCCGAGATTTGATTTTCTCCATTACACCTTCCAAATCACCCACCTTTGCTGCCATCTCTCCAAAATCTCGCTCTGATACCAATTTGATACTTCTTCGAAGTAAAAACAATAAAGTAGACAAGTAGAAACTACAGGAACACAAAGATGGAGGATGATTTTTTATTCTCCCTTCAACAAGAAAGAAAGATACAGGTGATCTACTGTTCGAGAAGTAAATCAGCTCTCCCATAAACCCTAGTTGTCACTAGGAACCCTAAACAAACCCTAGAATAATTTCAGCAAACAAAAGATACTAACCCTAGACGAAACTCCTTAAATATCCCTAATCATACAATAATGCCAATTAAACCCTTCTTAAACAAGTTAAAACATTTCTAAACATATCTCCCTTGATTCCTCCTCACATAATGAATTACAGCTTTGTTAGGCCCCACAAGGAGGATCGAAACTCCCCTGGTTACTACTCTAGGTTCCGCCCATCCCTGTGGTTGGTTCAGCTCCTGCTGGACTGGCCTGCTAGACCGGCTGGCTGGGTTGGCCCAAGTCGCCCCCATCTCCTGCTGCTCCTGCTGTATCAATATCCATGCAAAGTTTGAATCTTAGAGAATGTAAGTAACTATCCGCAAAGCATGTTTAAGTATAATATGATCCCTTGAATCAAAATGATCATGACAAATTAATTATTATTTTTTTCAAGTAAGGAAATTTGTTGCCGTTTTTTCAGACAAGTTTTCAACCATATGACAATGAAACGGCCCATGACAACTCTAAAAAGCAGAGAACCTGTAAATAGTGACAATTTCATTTATAAGAAAAAGGGTGACACCATACGCTCAATCAAGGGATTAGTAGAAGGAAAAGATGGAACAAACTTTCAGAAGGCTGTTGGAGGTATGCGTTAACTGCCACAACAAAACGTGTATACTTTCCAAGCTATATCCATATTTTCTTCTAGGAAGACGATGCATTTGAGCTACAAAACCCAGAAATAAATGAGAGAGCAGCCAGTTCATCTCCGTCACAGAGGTTTAGTAATATGATGAGATGTATTGAATAAACGATGGGTTGTACAAGCACACAATAAAGCAGTCTAAACCTAATGATCAGGATCAATAGCATATGCAGATTCGCAGCCTAAAACTGATAATCCAGATCAAGACTATAAATTAGAGTAGACATTTGAAAGGTTAGATTGCACCGTTGGTTGGCTAGTCAAGTTTATTTTTTTTGAATCGTTAATGGTTACATCAATGAGACTTACAGTGTCACGCAAATCTACATCCCGCAAGTAAGCCCGCTGAAGATTTGCAGACTGCAAATTGGCACCGCTAAGCTTTGCCCCCTGAAGTGAATGATTTAAATAAACCATCAGTGCATTCTATCATAGTACCAATATTTAGAAATCAATAATACCATTCAGATTTACTCATCAGAGAAGAATTGCCTAGAAGAACAAGCAAGCAGTTTGCAGTGAAAGTACTTAAAGAGCAAAGATGGAATATGTTCAATGCAGTTATGTAAAGCATTCGATAGTTTACTATGAATTAAAGATCCCACAAAAAATTCAAAATAAATCTTAAGATACCATATGAACAAGCAAAAAGCTGACAAATTTAAAATCACATGCATATTGAATTCTTAGTAATAGGTATAAGACCGCCACTTTTTGAAAGCCAGCAAGTGGAGGCATGATGAGGACATCGACAGACGCTACCGACATGTTTATCGAAGAAGGAATTGCAGATCTAAAGCTACGATTCAGCGCCTCTACTTTTGATACATTTTCATGTTATGTTTATTTAGTTATTATTTTCCGCATTTACCCCTTTGGGGAATTGTCTTGTTATTGTAGCCCAGAGGCAATTTCGTACTTTTTCTTTCCATGTTTGGAGACCTATATATAGTGGTCTAATGTGTTGTAATTTTCGGGATGAATGATTAATGAAATTTTCTTTGCTTCTTCTCCTTCTTGCATGAGAGCAAGTGCAAGGCCCACCAGTCGTTGAAAGAGTCCACGGCTCATGGTTAGTTTACTTCTATCTTACTTGTGTGTTCTTTTATCTTCCTTTCCTCAAGTCAATCGCCGGCCCCTTCCAACATCTCCACCACCAGTTGCTTAACCTCCTCCACCCAATTCATCTCCTAGCTCCACCACCTCAATCCCACCCGCCAACCTAGCCCCAACTCGACGCCTAGCCGCCCCTTCCCCCTTTGCCGCCGCCTCCCTCATAAATTCCCCCTCATTATGCTGATTTGAATCACCATAATGACTTCCTAACTTAGCTCAAGCATGAGAGGGAAAATTGGAATTCTTTTGAAATTCAAATTCGAATTTCAAATTCTTTCCATATAGGGAATATCCCAAATTAGGAAAGTTATCAATCATGAATTCAATTTCAAAATAAATCAAATTGGATTTAATTATTCCCTTTCCTAATCTTCATCAACTATTTGGAAACTCCCATATTTCTCTCCACAATCCCCTCCACCCCTTAATGATGCCGTCGGCCCCATGATGGGCTCCTCCCATTAAATCCTCATTTAATCCCTAAGCCCTAATTGAAATTTGAATTTAATTTCAAAATGTTTCCCTCCAAATCCACTTAAACTGAAATTAATTTCAGATTTTCTATTTCCAAACTCCTCTTTCAAACCCTACCCTCATCCCCACTTCCTCAAGCCGTCCCAACCCTCTCCCCTCTACCCAAGCCGCCGGCCTCTCTCTCTCTCCACCACCACTTTCTCTCCTTCTTCTACCTCCTTGTGTTCTCTCCTCTCTCCGTGTGCGCCTCCATTTCTCCCAGCAAGTATGTATGGCGGATCCGGAAGTTGATCACGGGCTCGTTCTCAATTCTCGAGGGGAGGTTGACATCATCCGATCACCGTTCTTTGATCCCGGATTCGAAGCCGAAGGCACCATCAAGGAATACATGGATCACATCCTTCCCCACTTAGCGAAATTCATCGACGAACAAAAGCTCTTGAAGAGTGGAAGATCACTGGACGATTACCCATTCCTCCACCGCCGGCTACCGATCCGTCAACGAAGGTCCTCGGCGCTATCTTCCTAGTGGTAATATCCTTCTTCGTACGGTTCATCTTTCTCCGCTAACGCCTACGAGTGATTGAGTGAAAAGGTCCTCAAGGTGAACCTCTCGTTGTTAAGTTTTGGATTATGTTATGTGTACTTAGCCTTTATTATTGTCCTGAACTTTGATTGAATTATTTGGTTAATCTCAATCGCACTTCTTTGACCTAAGCAAGTTGATTACTTTAAATTCTTTACTATCTTTCATGTGCAAGCAATAAATTTTCATGACAAAACTTTAATCAATTGTTCCATTTAATCTCGCAAGTAACTCCTAGTGGTATCACATCAATGCAAAAAAACTAGAAATCGATAGGGCATACCAATAAGGCTGCAAGACTCTATTCAAAGACAATAAAAAATATACTAATAATAGATAAATTATATTCGAAACACAACCACAAATATGCTTATAACATAATAATAATAATAATTCAACTGATCCTCCTATTGCATTTGACTCAGAAGTTTCAGAAAGGGGAACAATCATGATATCACCATGAATAAGTTCATCAAATCTATGTTGTCAGTAACAAATTGTAATTGAAAAGGTATTTTATTGACCTGGCAGCCCAAGACACCCCGATGCTTTCACGGCCTTGATATCATGTATACCACAAGAAGATGGGTATTCTGCATTGCTTTATTATGCAATTATACAAAATAAAGGGTATGGGTTTCTCGCATTCTTCATCACTTCTTCGCCTATCGATGCTGTTAAATCCTCTCCCATCTTCTTCGCATCTCTTATTCTTTTCCCTCTCTTACTCCTTGGGGGTCTACGTTAGTAAGCAGGAGCTGATGCCAAATCTCCAGCAAATGGAATGAACAACGCCATTGTCTTCTTCAAAATGTGTAAAAATAAAAAACGTAAATTTGTTGTCTTTATATATATATATTTTATAAACAACTTATATGTAAAGAAAAAAAAAACTTATAAAACACTAATCAAATTTATTGTCCAAATTTTTAAAAATCAAATAAAAAATAAAAAATTTATGTCAGGTAAAGTGGGCATGAAAGTTCTAGCCTAAACCTGAACGACCATGGGAATGACAAGAACTTTGAGGAAAAAAAAAAACAGTAAAAATCATCCTTCATGTACCATGCGGTATAGTATTATGGGAAAGTTGGACAAAGTGACTTCAAATGAGAAAAACTGAATGGTAATGAAGGCAAGCAGCCACATAGTAACAAATTAATAAGGACCCAGAACTCAAATGGAAGCAAATGATCTAAAAACTCAAAGGGAACCCCGTATGCTCATACATAATGGCCAACAAACCCAACCCACAAATCCTAAAATAAAAAAATATCCCACTCCCACTTTGAATCACTAACATCCATTTTATACCAACCCACACAGCATTGTCACAAGTCCAAGTGAAGGGAGGACAAGGTGTTGAGAACCATGATCAAAGTGGTGATAAAAATGAATAGAAAATAGTTTGTAGATTTATTCATTCTTGTAAGTGATGCAACTGCATTAATAATGTCAAGACAGCAACAATAAATGGACACTGAAAACACCTGGGAAAGTTGAAAATGGCGTTCATAAAACAATGCGTAAGGAAACAAATTGTTGAGTGAAAGAAATTAGTTGCCAGTAGCAAGTAAAAATTGAACAATTTATATGAAAATAGAGGATACATTTCAAATGAATTCAAAATAAGAAATGTGGTATTTAAACAATGACGGGAAACATCAGGAAATTGATTTGATGATTTCAGTGAAGTCATAAAAGGAAAATCTAACTAATAGTTCTGATCTTATATTTATAGATTCAGGAATGAATGCCCACATAAAGCTATATATGGAAAACTATGGTACCAAAAGAAATAATTAAGGGCTTAAAAAGGATTGTATAACACAAGCTACAAATATTGCATTGGATGGAACATGCTTTCTCGCTATTGCGTCATAAAATTCAATACCTTCAGATTGGCACCTTCCAGATTAGCTCCTTTTAAGTTGGCATCGGAGAGGTTGGCATTCTGAAAAGTGAAAATAGTGTCGTCAAGTTTACAAATGAGCATATGCATGCGATACTTCAGACAAGAGAAAAAGAAAATGTACAACCTGATTTGGATATAATATGGTTCTGAAACTACAACAAATAAATATACACTTATGCATAAATATTCAATTTCCAAATATATAGTGTATGCATATAAAAAATAAAAACTTATAAAAAAGCTGCGCCTATATAAAACTTATGTATGCATTTTAACATTCAGTGCTTATTTAATGAGCTGGTCCTGATTTATCACCCGGAGGTTTTTTATATTATTAGAGAGATTAAAATCTTGATGGGTTCTATGAATGTCCAGACTTCCTTTGTTCAGAAGGAAGCCAATGCTTGTGCTATCTGGTTAGCTCGGTTTGGTGCTGGGAACAATGGTTTTGTTGATTTTGTGGATGGTGGTGCCTTTGTTGCTCTTAATGGTCTTGTTAAGTTGGATAAATCCTGATGTAAATCAAACAGGAATTGCTTGCGGAAATTAAGATGAAAGTTAATTAAAGCGTTACCACCAAAAATTTATCACCAATAAAATAAAGGATTAAATATATTCTAGGTAATCAACTTGCTTAGGCGAAGAGTTGCTTTGAGATAACCAAACAATTCAAAACATTCAAAGATAAAAGAAATACTTAAATGCTCATAACAAAATCCCACGATTAATAATGAGAAAATTCACCTCGAGCACCTTCTCACTCATTCACTCTTTGGCTTTTAGCGGAGAAGAAAGAACCATAAGAGGATGGAGAGCACCACTACGGAAAAGGAGACGAAGGACTTCGTTACCGGAGAGGTAGCCGCCGGTGGAGGAGGTGGTGGATGACGCCCGGTGATTGTCCAAACGTAGTCTCGAAATTGGCGGTCGATGACGTGCACAAGTGTGGGGAGAATTCGCTCCAAGTATTCGCCAACTGTGTCTTCGTGCTCAAACCCCATGTCGAAGAACAGAGATCGTAGGACGTTGAGACTACCATCGGCGTTGAACAAAAGCCCCCATCAAATTCGGGATCCGCCATTCAACATTGAAGTGGGGATGGGAAGAAGAAAAGAAAGGAGGAGTTGGGCCGTGAGCTAGGGAGAGGCTTGGGGAAAATCTGAATTTGAATTTCAGATTTTCTTGGATTGGAGGGAGAGGTTATTTGTCATTAAAGTCTCCCTAAATTATATTAAAGAGAGGGGCGGCTATTAGGGGGAAATTAAGAGGTTAATTAGTGGGTGCTTAGGTGGCAAGGAGAGAGAGAGTATGCTAGCATGGGTGGTCGGCCAGTGGCTCAGGTTTGATGGGGAAAGGGGAAAACAACAAAAATTAAGGGTAAAACCAAGAGCTCACCAAGGTGGGTTGTTGGGTATTGCGGGTGGAGCCTCTCCTAGGTCTCCTCACTTTCTCTCAAGCTCTCAAGCAAGAAAAGAAGAATGAAATCTCAGAATTTTTATTAATCAAACATTAAGCTCATACAATAGGAAGAGACCTCTTTATAAAGGCCTCATCAACAGAAAATAACATGACTCAAATGCCCACCGGGATACAACAAAGACTAAACCTTCATAAGGGCAAAATAGTAAACTAAAGCTTGAAATAAAAGATACATAGAAAATAACATAAGATGACATGGAAACATCAAAAATATAAGCTCCTAATCATAGTCGTCGATCTACGATTCCTTCTCCGGTAGACCTGCCTAAAATGTCTGTCGATGACCTCATCATTCTCCCCAGGTGGGAGAAAACTCGACCCCGTCGAGTGAGTATCTCTAGCGCTCTCGTACAACTCTAAGAAATCTGGGTCTAGGATCTGTAGCTCCTTTCGATCAATCCAAGTGTCCTCCGTCGGCGGTGTCCCTTTCCAGTGCATTAAGTACCTTCGGCGTCCTCCTTCCTTCGTGGAAATGATCTCATCATTCAATATGGTTTCTATTTTCTCCGCATTAGGTAAATGGGGAAATTTGGGGAGTGGAGGTAGGCTAGGGATCTCACCAAGTGGGTTCACACAAGGCTCATTTGTTAGTGGATTGTGGGGATTAAACTCTGGTCCATCGAAGGCTACTAAATCTTCTATATTAAAGGTATGATTGATGTTAAAACCTTCGGGGAGGTCCAGCACGTAAGCATTACTGTTTATCTTGGAAATGATTTTGAATGGTCTGGCGCTTCTCGCATGCAATTTCTTCGCGGATCCGGGAGAAAACGCTCCGAACGGATTCGCACCATCACAAAGTCTCCAACTTCGAATTCTTTAAGCCTTTTCTTTTGATCAGCAATTGATTTGTAACTGGCGTTGCTTTGCTCAATTTTCATTTTAATTTCTTTATGCAATTCCTGTATGTGGGATGCAAATGCATATGCTGACTCTGACACTCTAAACCTAGGACTCATGGGAAGCAAATCTATAGGTTGTCTGGGTAGGTACCCGTACACGATTTCGGCTGGACTAAGAGCAGTGGTTCTATTGACGGAGTTGTTGTAAGAAAATTCAGCAATAGGAAGCTTGGAATCTCAATCCCGTATGTTTTCCCCTATCAAAGTCCTTAGAAGATTTCCTAGACTTCTGTTAACCACTTCGGTTTGCCCATCAGTTTGGGGGTAGAAGGCTGTAGAAATTTGGAGTTTTGTGCCCATTTTGTGCCATAGGGTTTTCCGGAAGTAGCTAGTAAACTCGACATCCCTATCGGAAACGATGGTCTTGGGTAATCCATAAAGTCTAACAATCTCATCAAAATAGAGCTTAGCAATATGGGAGGCGTCAAAAGTCTTAGAGCAAGGGAGGAAATGGGCCATCTTAGAAAAACGGTCTACAACAACACAAATTGAATCATGCTTTTTCGCAGTCTTTGGTAAACCCAGAACAAAATCCATACTCACATCCTGCCACGGACAATTAGGTACGGTAAGTGGGGTGTAAAGTCCCGTATTCTGCTTGCGTTGCTTAGCGAGTTGGCAGGTGTGGCACCTCCTTAGCAATCTACTAACATCACGCTTTAAGCTAGGCCAGTAGAATCGATTTTCTAAGGAAGCAATGGTCTTGGATTGTCCAAAGTGGTCAGCTAATCCGCCAGCGTGTAACTCCCAAACAAGATACTCTCTAAGGGACGTTCTAGGACTACAAAGTTTCTGGGCCTTAAATAAATATCCATCTTAAACCAGAAAATCATCAATTACTCTGTCAGGCCCTGGAGTCAATAAAGCATAAGTCTCATGAAAATCAGGGCAATCCTTATAGTCTTCTCTGATATGTTCGAATCCGACAACTTCCGTTCTCATTTCTTTAGTGACCATAATTCTACGACTCAAAGCATCAGCTGCCTTATTCTCAGTCCCAGCCTTATGTCTAATAGTGTAAGAGTACTCTTGGAGGAATTCGGCCCAACGATCATGGCGGGCATTCAACTTCTTCTGTGAGTTAATGTATCGCAAAGCTTCATGATCCGAGAATATCACAAATTCCTGGGGGAGCAAATAGTGTCTCCAATATCTAAGGGACTGAATAATTGCATAGAATTCCTTGTCATAGGTAAAATACCTTTGACGAATGTCATTTAACTTCTCACTAAAGTATGCCACCGGATGTCCTTCTTATGACAAGACTCCACCTATTCCAATACCTGATGCGTCGCAAGTCACTTCAAAAACTTTAGAAAAGTCTGGCATACGCATGACTGGTGCTTCAACCATCTTCCTTTTTATTTCCTCAAAAGCCTTGGTGGCAGACGTCGTCCAGTGAAACTCTCCTTTCTTCAGACAGTCAGTTATTGGACCCACTATAGTGCTAAAGTTCCTGATAAATCTCCTATTGAACGTGGCCAGTTAATGAAAACTTCTAACATCTCTAATGTTCTTGGGTTCAGGCCATTCATTGATTGCTCGCACTTTTTCAGGGTCGGCAGATATGTCTTGGGACGAAATAATAAATCCGAGAAAGGTTACGTGATCCGTTAGGAACGTACACTTCTTAGGATTAGCATACATTTGTTCCATCTTCAAAATTTCACAAACTTGTCTCAGATGATTCAGATGTTGTTCCACCGAATGACTGTAGATCAGGATATCATCAAAGTATACTAAAACGAATTTTCCAAGGAACGGTCTAAGGATCTGAGTCATTACTCTCATAAAAGTGATAGGTGCGTTACTCAAACCAAAAGGCATTACCGTCCATTCATACAATCCATCTTTGGTCTTAAAGGCGGTCTTCCGCTCGTCTCCTTGGCGTATCTTAATCTGGTGGTAGCCACTTTTGAGATCAATCTTAGAAAAAAGTGTGGCTCCAATCATCATGTCTAGCATGTCATCTAATCGGGGGATAGGGAAGCGGTACTTGACCGTGATTTTGTTGATAGCACGGCTATCAACACACATTCTCCACGACCCATCCTTCTTAGGGGTAAAAAGGGCGGGGACAGCGCACGGGCTAAGACTTTCCTTAATGAATCCCCGTTGTAACAACTCATCCACTTGCTTCTTGAGCTCCTCGTGCTCAGTAGGGTTCATTCGGTAGTGGGGTAGATTTGGCAAAGAGGCTCCAGGTACTAGGTCAATAGCGTGTTAAATGTCCCTTAAAGGTGATAGTTGGTGGGGCAGATCTTCAGGGAAGATATCAAAAAAAGTTTCCAAAAGTGGTCTTACTTCCTCATGGATAGGTTCTTCTAGATCTACACTCACTTCCCGAGCTACTAACGCGTAAAGAGGGGCTCCTGACTCTAGTTCCATACTTAAGTCTTTAGCAGTTAATAAGTTCAAGCCCGTGTTGGGTTTCAGGGAGTTGGGTTTAACTTCTTCTTTGGCATACTTAGGTTGAGTTGGTAGGAGTTTAATTTTCTTGCCTTCGTGTTCAAACACACATGTGTTTGATCGGTCATAAATGTGTACATCGTTGTCGAACAACCAAGGGCAGCCAAGGATGATTTGACCCACATCCATTGTCAACACATCACACCAGATTTTCTCTTTATATCCAATGAAATCAATAGGAACGAGACT